GACGAACATTTTTGTATACTTTACACACATATAGATGAACAGGGAGCCGAGATACAATAGTTGGATCCCGGCTGGGGGTAAACTGCACTCCAGCCGTTCTAGAGAGCAATTCTTAGCTACTGGGTCGCGTTGCTAATCGGCGTCTTCCTCGGGGTGGTCGACGGAGCGATGAATAATGTCCGAATAACTGCAGCGGCCCGAGCTGTCCCTTCCCAGCCAGCCATCGCATTTTGCATCACAAAATTTTATCAGGTAAAGGTGAAGAACGTTTTTCTCTCTCAGTTTTTCTCATTGTGATGCCATATAAGCATTCCTATTTTAGGCGCTCGCCTCCACCATTTTCTACTATCTCTGCTCGGTTTTGGACGCGTACCAAATCGTCGCATTAATGACGTTCACTCTACTGGCGGGTGCGTAAACAGCTGGGCTGCCGAAATTTTTTACCTTTCAATTTCTAAATTCCTGTTTTAGGCCTCATCGGCTTCATCTCGTTGCTCAAAGACCTGCGCGGTGTGCACGACGCCGAAAAGCTGCCGGAAAAGAAAATCAGAATATGAAACGATTTTAAAGATAAAAATGTATTCCCCTCGCTCACTCCCAGTCCCCAAGTAAAAAGCTGCACGAGTCTGATGCCAAAAAAATTTATGAGCTTCTACAAATCATAGTTTTTGGCTGTCAAATTCTGTGATGCAGTTTATCCTCAAGTTCCGCATCCCGATGCTCGGGTTTATGTAAATCAGGGCATAAATATGGAGCAACCGTGCCAAAAACAGTTGAACTCGAGGACACACAAAAGCTGCATACCTTGAGCGAAACTTTTTAGCGGGTAAAGTGAGTTGATCAATCGAGTTTCGGGGCTCTTAGTTCCTGACACTGATTCATACATATTAGGTTGGGCGGAAAGTTCGCACAATGGAACTTTGCAAATTTTTCTCTAAAGATTTCGTGGGCAGATGACAGTGCTTTTTTTTCTATCTACCTGTTGAGCTCAATAGTATGCATGATCAAATATACCAGTTTTTTGCCCTATTGGATTTTATTATTTTTGCGCTTCTATCGGAGGCGGCTCAAATTTTAGACACTGACATCTTTTAGAAGCGCTGTAAAGTTACCTTATTAGGAACGATCCACTACCAAGATAATAACTTTTAGCTTTAAATGTCGAAAAATGCAAGAAAGCAGCTCGAAGCTATTTTGCCAACGGCGGGCCGAAGCCATTTCGCATTTCCATGTAACTCAAACCGAAAAAATTCTAAAAAACCCCGCAGGATTCCGGCCCGCATGTTGAATAGAGTACTTCATTGTGCACACTCCTCTCGCTGAAAAATTTTATTTCGGAACCGTTTCCTGGAACAGAAATATGAAAGAATGAAAAATATTGCAAAAACCTTCGGTCCAACCTGATACCTTGACACTTTAGAGCTACGAAAGCGACATGAACGAGGATAATTTCACGATCTTGGCTGCATGCCTCCTTGGAATGCTGCAATTCGCGATATTCTTTGGATTCGATCTGCTGGCCTATGTATCCGAGCCGATCACGCACTCCATCCATGTCCGATGCCCGGGCTGTATTGTCGATTTTGCAGGGTATTACGGGTAAGGCAAGTTCAGGCAGCAAATCAGTACCCATGATCTTACAGCCAAGGTGTCATCTACTTCGTCTATGCTCTCGCAAACCTAATCGTCCCCTGTTTTCTGCACAAGCTCGGATTTCGCGGAAATCTGATGATCGGAGCGACATGTTTCTGCTCTTCTCCATGTCTTTCTACCATCTCCGAAACTACACCTATTTCCCGACATGTGCATTCGCTGGCTTTGCGTTTGCTTGTCAGTTTTTGTGTCGTTGTTGAGGACCGCCTTTTGCCAAAAAGTCGGTAAGATTTTTTTAGTCTATTACTGCGGAGCCGGAGCTTACGCGGCCAAGATTTCGTCAGCGACTACGATCTCCAGGAACCAAGCCTTGACCTGCACATTTTCAGCGATCGGGTATTCCAAAGATTAAAAGGCCGTCCGCGAGCCAACCGAACAAACCCCAATATGGCTTGGCACAGTTTTTTTCGACCCCGTTTTTTCGACGGCATCGGAAAGAGCATGGTCGAATTGGTAGGGCTGCATAGTTTTGAAAGTTTAAAAAGTTAATTTTTAGTGTTTAAATGGGCCTCAAAGTGGCCGACCCCGAAAAAATATCTCGAAAACTACTGAACCAAATTCGCTGAAAATTTGTGACAATGCCTAATTTGGGATGGGGATCATTTCTTTAATACATCGTGAAGCACGAAAATGAGCGGAACATAGAAATACAGCGTACCCGAAACAGTAATTTTGGATTTTCTATTTTACGGGTTTCCGAGGGTAACTTCTTTTTACTATAGAAAGATGCGCCAGGAAATTCTGCATTGAATGATGTATTTTTCATTTTACCCTCCGGTTCCCTAGTTCCGCTGTAAAGCATTTACTGCGCGCAAAACAGACCCCAGACTAGGCCAAAATCGTCAAAAATGGCAGATTTCTAAATTGAAAACATCAAATCGTATCTAGAGAATGAGCTGAATCGATTGCAAAAAAGAGCAAAAAGAAATAATGTTTTTGAAGTGGGGCTGGGATTGAACTCGCGCGACCCCTGGATTGGTAGGCGAGCACTCATGCAATCCACCACGGCCCCAGAGAGGGCTTCCAGGCGAAGGGTCCGAGTTCGATTCCTCCCGGATCTCAGCCCATATTTAGAAGCCGAATTTCTTTTTGCTCTTTTTTGCAATCGATTCAGCACATTCTCTAGATACGATTTGATGTTTTCAATTTAAAAATCTGCCAGTTTTGAGGGTTTTGGCCTAGTCCGGAGGATGTTTTGCGCGCAGTAAATGCTTTATAGCGGAACTAGGGAACCGGAGGGTAAAATGAAAAATACATCATTCAATGCAGAATTTCCTGGCGCATCTTTCTATAGTAAAAAGAAGTTACCCTCGGAAACCCGTAAAATAGAAAATCCAAAATTACTGTTTCGGGTACGCTGTATTTCTATGTTCCGCTCATTTTCGTGCTTCACGATGTATTAAAGAAATGATCCCCATCCCAAATTAGGCATTGTCACAAATTTTCAGCGAATTTGGTTCAGTAGTTTTCGAGATATTTTTTCGGGGTCGGCCACTTTGAGGCCCATTTAAACACTAAAAATTAACTTTTTAAACTTTCAAAACTATGCAGCCCTACCAATTCGACCATGCTCTTTCCGATGCCGTCGAAAAAACGGGGTTGAAAAAAACTGTGCCAAGCATTGTTCGGGTCTCTCGCAAACGGCCTTTTAAATGACAATTAAGCTTTTAGCCTTGGATTTTGCGGCGTTTTCATCCTAATCTCCTCCGAGTTTACGGTTATGCAAAACACGGGAGTTCACGCCGCGAATCTCAGTATTATTGTAAGACAGCAAGAACAAGAACTTTAGCAAACTTTCAGAAAGATTCCTATCGTGACTATTCCGACTACGAGATTCGGATTCTGGCTATTGGCACCGTCGCGGTTTCATGCGTCGCTATAGCCCTGGCGTTTTTTATTCCCATTCGGCTGATCAAAGATTCTCTTTATGAGAAGACCGAACATGTCGATACGGTCGGGGATCAGCTGAGTACGCCCAAATAGGTTATTTACGAAAAAATTTGCGTCCTCAGGGATGGTACTGTGGGCAATTCGGCAAAAGGGCCTGCTGAAAATGGCACCATTTTTCATCTTCACCGGCTTCTTCACAACCTTCTGGCTGTCGATCTACACGACAACCCTGTCTTTCACGGCCTCTTTGGCCGTCTACAATAGTTTGGTCGCATATTATTGTATTGCAATCACGATCGGCGAGGTAATTGGTAAGCACTCTAGTATCGTGAACCCGTTTTCAAAACACGCCCATTATCTACCTCTTCTAGTGGGCTCCTTCATGAGCTTGATGAACAAGCGGATAAATGACTTTGGATTGGTACCAGCCATGAGCATGGTGATCTCGATGTACGCGCTGACGTCGATCCTAATCGTGCTCTACACTCCGGCCGAATCGAGCATCAGGCCGACGAAACAATTGTCATTTGTTGAGCCGAGGTATGTTATAAGATCACACACACTAGTGCGACTCTTAGCTTCTGGATGGCGCTTCTGATCGGTATTATCAACGGTATGGTTGATGGAGCAATGAATAATGTACGAGTCACGACAGCGGCTCGGGCTGCACCTTCACAACCAGCCATCGCGTTTTGTATCACAAAGTTTTACCAGGTAATTCCGATAGTTGCAATTAGATTGTATTTATTGCTCTAGGCGCTCGCATCAATGATTTTCTTCTTCCTCTGCTCAAAACTTGATGCGCACAAAATTATCGCGCTTATGAGCTGCACCTTGTTGGCTGGTTGGTGATGTCAATTTCCGTAAAAATATACTAACTTTGCTGCTTTAGGCCTCATCGGCTTCATCTCCTTCCTCAAAGATCTGCGACGAGTGCAAGATGCCCAGATTTCACCATTGAAGAAGTTGAGAATCAGCTTAAAAGAATAAATCATCATTTTCCCTTGACTTTCATACTGCTCACGGAACGAGGACACAACTTTGCAGAATTTTTTTCCGGGCATTCACCGACTGTTACCAGGTACCAGGAGGTACAGGCTTATGCAGATTTTTTTACCGGGCATTGACCCATTGCACAACGACAAAAAGTGGTTAAGCAAGGTCGATGTTCGTCCTAGCCGGGTGATTGCCTGAATTTCACGTGGACTGACCGAAAGTCTACTTTGTTTAGCTCTTAACTTTTTCTATTGATTATTGATGCTTGGCCTTGAGGAAGTACCATGATTCCCTGCCTCTTGTTTTCACACGCGCATTCATTAACTTCAATGTTAATGCCGTTCCAACAACGATTTTTAGGCTTTGGACAATAAGTTTTAGGCATGAAAGAAGACAAGTTCCAAATCTGGGCCGCCAGCCTCCTTGGGCTCTTGCAGTGCACCTCATTTTTTGGCTTCGACATGCTCACCTTCGTCTCGGAGTCAATTGCGCACTCCGTGCATGAGCGCTGCCCGGATTGTATTGTGGAGTTTGCCGGATACTATGGGTATTAACAGGGCTGCAAGAGCAGGCACGATTAAAGGGATGCCGACGGCATAGTCAATCGGTTACGCGCTTGAAAGAAAATGTCTCTGCGCCTCTCCCCGGGGCGCGCTCTCTTCTGTTGGCTACTTGCCAATTTGTTGATGAGGGGGGATCGACACATGCCGTCGGCAGCCCTTTAATTATCGCTGTTAAAGCCAAGATCCAAAATCATGTAAACACACCCTTTCAGGCAGAGCGTCATCTACTTCGTGTACACCTTCGCCAACCTGATCGTCCCCTGCTTTCTCAACCAGCTCGGGATTCGCGGAAACTTCTTGGCCGGTGCGCTGTGCTTCCTGGCATATTGCCTGACGTTTTTCCACCTCCGGAATTACCTCCTACTTCCGGGCTGCTTATTCGCCGGGCTTGCGTTTGCTTGTAGGCTCAATTTCTTTTGAAAAACTCAATATTTCAAGTCTTTTACTGCGGGTCGGGGGCTTATTCTGGGAAGCACTCTACTGACACAACAGTTTCGAGGAATCAATCTGTTACTTGGATGTTTGCAGCGACCGGGCATGATCCACAATCTCGTATCGTGACTAGAGAGATTTTTAGCATTTTCGCCATCGTTTTCTACGCAACGTTCTCAGCCGGACTCTCTGTCGTCGAACCAAATGCGTCACAAATTGTCTGGACCAAACGGTCTGGTTTTCGAGTGACCAAAACCTAAATTTCAGGTCACCTCAAGCTACCGCATCTATTCCGAATTTGAGGTCCCTGTCCTAACGGTCGGTTCTTGCGGCATCTCCGCAATTGCCCTCGTTCGCGCCTATTTCATGCCAATCCGTGAAATCAAAGATTCTCTGTTTGAGAAGACGAACCATGTCAAAACCGTCCGGGAGCAACTGGGTAATAGGAAATGCTACCTAAAACGCTCCTAAAATTTAGGCCAGGTTACCTGGGCCTTAAAAGAGCCTGGCCTGCTGAAGGTGTGCCCGTTTTTCCTGTTTACCGGCTTTTTCACGACGTTCTGGCTGTCGGTCTATCCAACGACATTGGCATTTACCGAGGAGTTTGTCGAGCACAAGAATATGGTCGCCTATTTTTGCTTCTCCCTGGCTATCGGGGAGATTTTCAGTAAGTAAAAAACGAACCAAAACTATTATAAAAGATGACAGAAATTTTTTAAAGATCTAATGTTATAAAAATTAAGAATATCTTTTTGGTTCTTGTGTTATTCCGGGGCAAGAATTCTTGGGGGAAACTGAGCTTTTTTGGCCCAAGCCTAGAATTTTTATATAAATAGTGGAAGTGTTTTCTAAATTGTTTATAGTTATTCCTAAACATAAAAACTTTACAAAATTTAATTAAAAACATAAATTTTAGGTCGAAAAATCGATTTTTCGGCCCAAAAATGAGCAAATTTTCGACTTTTTCAAGCGTTTTTCTAACTTTTAAAAGTTTTCCGATTCAAATAGGCTTAAATTTTGCTAAAAACAATGTGGAAAACACTTTTATATTTGATTACTATCCCCACCAGGCCCGACAAAAAAAAGGGTT